CCAAGTGCTTCTCTAGAAGGGATGAGTGCAAGTAAGCCGTGGTGGCCCTGGTGGCCCTGCCTGCCTGCAGCTATTTCCATCAGCAGAAGGAGAAGGATGATGGGGCTAGGTGAGGGTCCTGACCTGACTTCCTGCATCACCTCAATCCACCGCCCACCGCCTCTCCCACTCTCTTAAGACCCAAGGAGAGGGGCTGGAGAGATAGCACAGCAGGTAGGGCATTTGCCTTGCACACAGCCAACCCGGGTTCGATTCCCAGCATCCCATATGGTCCCCTGAGCACTGCCAGGAGTAACTCCTGAGGGCAGAGCCAGGAGTAACCCCTGTGCATCACCGGGTATTACCCAAAAAGTAAAAAAAAAAAAACCCAAGGAGAGTCGAGGGGGGCCAGGGAAGCCCTGCTTCTTAATTTTGAGTCCCTTCATGTGGTGTGGGGCGACTCCAGACATTTGTTGGGGAGGGGCTGGGCCATTGGGAGTTTTCAGAGGAAAGGAAGGAGGCGGGAGGCCCTGGATGGTTATTATGCAGGGAGGAAGGGGACTGATGTCCGGAACACGGCAGGAGAGGGTAAGAGGACCCGACTGGACAATCAGGCGGAGGGGCGGCTGGGGTGTGGGGGGGCCTCTGGGCAAGCTGACCAGGGAGGAAGCAGGTGTGTGATGAGGAGGAAGAGATGAGAATGGAGGTGGGGGGGGTGAAGGTGGGTCGGGGCCCCTGGAAGTCAGTTCCTGAAGCAGCCACAGGGTGGGCTTTGTGGAGAAGCCTCAGAGGGGCGTGCTTGGCCGACTTGGTTAAGCTGAGGCCTGTTCTCAGAGTCTGTCCGCTGAAAGTCTGCAGGTTCGTGCTGAGGGCCCAGGAAAGATGAGCCCCTTTCTCTCTTCTTCGGGGTGTCTGATTCTGGGTTGCACAGAGAGAACAGCTGTCTTCACCAGGCGGGCTTTGGTGCTCTTCTCTGGGGACCCTGCCGATGTGGGGCCAGATCTTCCACCCCAACTTCCGCTCAGCAGGTAGAGGGGCAGGCCCCAACCAGCAGAAGTGCTGGTGCCTCCAGACCACGCATTCCCTCCCGAGCCCACAGCATCAGGCCCTCGGTACTCCTCATTTACAGGTCTCCTCTCACTTACCCCCCACTCTGGCCCTTGCAAAAGGCCATTTCCACGGCACAGATCAGGAAGTGAAGCTCCCAGGGGCAAAGACCCTTGTGACCTCCTTCTGAGGTGGGCAATGGGGAGGGAGGACAGCGGGGCTGGGGAAGGACCACAGAACAGCTGTGTGATCAGGGTGGGTGGCAGAGGGACCCCCAACCTCACCGCAAGTCTTTCCCCTCCTTCCCAGGACCAGCCTAGCACCGCCAGCCACCCCCTGTTCTGTTCCTCAGGGCCCAGCTCCTTTGGGAACAGCCACCCCCCTCCCCCTCCCGGGCTGTGCTCCTGGCAGCTGTGCCACCCTGGGCTCTGGTCCGGGGGTGGTCCCCGGCGTTGAGGGGGGCTGGGCAGAAGCTGGGATCAGTGGGGCGAAGGTGTGAGCCATCCACAGGCCCCCAGATCCCCACCTTCAGAGCCACGGTACTCCGGGCTCAGGTGGACCAGGTTCTTTGGGAAGGGGTGGCTTGAGGCTTTAATCACTTTATCAATGTTTGTTTGTGTAATTCTGCTCTGAGATGCTTTTCCTTCCATCTGTCCCCACCATCTGCTCCCATCAGGATTTTCCAAACCATTTGGGACCAAAGAAGGGAGGTGGGGCCGGGCCTCTGAGGGGGATGGGGAGGGACTACCTCCACCCACCTCCCCCTGAGGCTTCCAGGGAGAGGCCTGGGCTCGTGAGTCACAGAGACCTGCCTTCAAATACCATCTCAGGCACCTTCGTGCTGTGTCATGTCAGGCAGGTGACCTAGCTTCTCAGAGCCTCAGTCTCCTCATCTGTGAAATGGTCACGCCAGTGATGCTGCAGGACTTGGGCAGTACCTGGCGACACTGTAAGGTGATGTGTGCATACAGCAGGTGCCCAAATGATACCCCAGGAGCTAGTCTATTCCTCTGATGAGCTCTCAGCTTGCTCCCCGATGCCGGGAACACGCCTTTCCCTGGGACTTGTGCCCGCACCCCTTTTGAGAGACCCTGCCCTCTGCTGGCTTTCTCTCTCCATCCCTCTTCCCCTCTACACTCCGTCTCTCCTCCCTCCCCCACCGCTTGTCTCAGTCTCATGTGCTGGGGGCTGACTCTCACTAGTGAGCCCCCTCCCCACCCCATCCTGAGTAGGCCTTCATTAAAACAAATTAGAGAGGGCTTTCCGTCGCTGGACCTCCCGGTGCTCGGCCTGGGGAAGCCAGGTCACAGGCTTGCCCTGGGTGCACTTGGCAGGGCCCTCGGAATGGGCTTTTCCCTTCAGAAAGGGGAGAGACAGCCAAGGTCCTAGAAAATTGCAGGGCCGTCCCCTGACGGCAACCCAGGGCCTTAGAGCAGGAGGTCTTGGACCTCAGGCCTTGATGTGAAGTTTGGGGAGCCCCTTACCCTTTGGTTCCTGGGGGGCTACTGTGCTGCTTGGGTTCCAGGGAGGAGAGAAGCGGCTGAGCCATGGGATGGTGTGAGGGTGGGGGGGAGGGGTGGAGTGAATTAAGTTTCACCCTACTCAAGCAGAGAGCAGGAAAGTGAAAGGGGGGGGGTGTTGGGTGAGGAGGAGACAGGGTCCTGCCTTCAGAGCTCCTTTCTCTAGGGAGAGAGGATGCATCTAGTCAGGGGGTCCTGTGAGCAGAGGGAGCTGGGGGAAGAGAGTGGGAGCAGTGCAGTGTGTGTGTGGTGGGGGTGTGTGTGTGCTGAGACTGGACACAGTGGGCAGGAGGCTCCAGAAGAGTGGAGGGTGCCAGCATCAGGCAGGCAGAGGAAGAAAACAGGGGCGAGCTGGGGTGGGGCGGCAGGGCTGGCCCCTCTTCTACCCCAAGCACACGGTGCTCCCTGGGAGCGGGAGGAAGTGAGGTGGGGGGAGGACGGGTGGCAGGGTGGTGTTGAGCGAAGCAGCAAGTCTCTCCCTGCCCCCAGGTCCTCCTGCAGGAGGCAGCTGGGAACCACCCACACATGTCTGGCGTCTCTCACCAGACAGGGGGTCCCAACGCCAGAGCCAAGGCACACAGAGAAACTGGTGTTCTGAAGGGCCCAGCTGCCCCCCACCCCACAGCCCCACTCCCCAGGAGCAGGGAGTAATGCCAGCCTTTAGTCACCTGGGGCTCAGACTGGGAAACTGGGGGCAGGGGGGGGTTATCTCAGAGGGTTCCCCCCTTACCCCCGAGCTGGAAGGAGCTATCCAGGCAGAAAGCAAACGTTATGGGCTCACCTTCCAAGCCAAAGCAGGCCCTGTCTGGTGCCGGGTTTATCTCTGCAGGGCCTGGCTCCCGCCCGTGCCCCTGGCCTCCAAGTGGGCTCCGGGCAGAAAGCTTGCAAGCTTGCTCTTCCCCTCTGCTCAAAGTCCCCTACTGGCTCCCCTGGAATAGAACCTGCAGTCCTGGGGCGCTGCCCTTCCCTCAAAACTCCCCAGCTTTGTTCCCGAGTGGAGGTGCAGGGGCCCGGGGGGGGGGGTGGCTGGAGCCACCTTGGATGCTTGGATGCCCCCCCTCCAGCGCTATGCCCAGTTGGGACAGGCACGATGGGCACAGACGAGGTTCCCAGCTTAGAAAGGCTGACTCTGAACGCTGAATCCTCCTCGCCCGCGGCCTTCATAGCTCAAAGGTGGGTGAAGGAGACAAGAGAGATAGTACAGGGGGTAAGGCGCTTGCCTTGCACATGTTGGACCTACGTTTGATCCCTAGCACCCCATATGTTCCCCTGAGTCTCACCAGGAGTGATCCAAAGCACAGAGCCAGGAGTTATTCCTGAGCATAGTGGGTGTGGCCCAGACCCACCCCCCAAAAAGGGAGGAGGCGGAGTGCCTGCTATTCATGCAGAAGACCGAGGTCCCACCTCCAATACGACATGTTCCCTCCAGCACAGGCCAGAGCACTGCTTCTGGCGCGCCCCCGCCACCCCCAATTCTAAAACCTACAGTCCTTGGCATGGCCCCAAGCATTGCCACCGTGCGTCTCCATTCATGGATCCCGATTTTCTCTGTTCTAGAAATGACTTGTATCTTCCGCCACCTCCAACTCCCATGACCCACTGCTGTAAGAGAGCAATGAACGGATGAGGGCACAGGGTTCAAGTTCACGCCTCCACTCACGAGCTGCGAGAGAGCCGGAGAAGTCCCTGAACCTTCTGCTCTGCCGTGAAGGGCACCGGGAAGGGCAACGGAGACAGGGAAAACCCTCAGGCCCTGATGTGGGGCTGCTCCTAGGCGCGGCGCGGGTCGGGGTGGCGGCCGAGCAGCCCCTACTCTGGGATGCGGCCAGAGACTGGGCAGGGCTGTTCAGGAGGCGGCGGGGGACCTGGGCTCCTAGCCCCAGCTCGGCGTGGCTGGAGGCGGGATGGGGAGGGCAGCTGAGATCAGGGCGGGGCTGGGGTCCCCAGGGGTCCTGCGGGGATCCCGGCCGCAGCCGGGGCGGGTTCTCCAAACCCGGGGGCGGACGGGGGGTGTGTCTGCCAAGCCCGCCGGGCGTCATCCACTGGAGCAGGGGGCGCTGCCTCTCCCCGCGGAGCCCCCCGCCCCGTCTGCTCAGGAGTGGAACGCGGGGGCCTGGAGGGGGCCGCTGGGCGCTCCGCGTCCAGGTGCAACTGGCGAGGCGACGGGAGGCGGGTGTCCCCGGCTTAGGAAGGCCGTTCACTCGGCGATGGACCCCCTCCTCGGCGCGACCCGTATCTAGGTGCCGGAGAGCTGGGAGTCTGGGTCCTCCCGCGCCGGCGGGGCGCCCTTCGATGAGGGGGCGAGGGCGGGAGGGCGTCCCGCGGCCGCGCGGGCAGGGCAGGGGGCGGGGCCGGGAACCGGGGGCGGGGCCTGGCGCCGGGTTTGCGGCTTGGGGGCGGGGCCTAAGGCTGGGTCTGCGGCCAGAGGGCGGGCCGGGACCCCTGGGGGCGGGGCCTGGACCCCGGGGGCGGGGCTCCGGGTGAGCGCCGCGGGGCGTCTCCCTCGCAGGCCCCGCCCCCGCCCCCCGCCCGCCCTCCGGCCGCCTCTGCCGCCGCGCGCCGCAGCCGCACCGCCTTCCCTGCGCAGTCGGTGTCTCCGCATCGCTGGGTGAGTGGGGGCCGCTCGGGCCGGGGTTGGGGGATGTGGGGAGGGGGCGTCTGGGGGGGAGGGGCTGCGTCCAGGGCTCCCCAGCCCCGCGCCTTCCGCCGACCATCCCTCCGCGGGCGCGGGCAGGAGGGGCTCCCCCGGGGCAGCGCGTGGCGCTCTCCAGGGTCCTGACCGCGCAGTGGCCAGCGCGAGGAGTCGCGCCCGGGGCTGCCAGCATCGAGGCGGGGGGCTCGGCGGGCGGCAGCCCGGACGAGGTGGGAAGGCGGGCTCGGGGCGCGCTTCTCAGGGCGAGCTGCGGGCTCCTTCCCAGGGTGCGGGCTGGGGGTCTGTGCGGAGAGCACAGCGCCGGGCCACCTTCCTTTCCAAGTCTTCCAGCTGGGAGGGGCAACTCTGAGGGGGGCCGCGGGAGGGGGCTCCGGAGGACCTCCCCTGCCCAGCGCAGCTCTCTCTGCCCCCGCCCCATGACCCAGTTCCCTGGACCTCCAGGAGGGGACTAAGGGACACACTGGCGCCCCAGCCCCATACATTTCCTCAGTCCCCTCCCACACACTTGTTTAGTGGCGCCTCAGCCTGGGGCAGAAGAGGCCGTTTAGGAAGGAGGGTCACCAACTTGCAGAAGCACGCATGCCGGGGACGGGCACAGGTCCCCAACAGGCCCTCCCCCTCCCCGCGATGGGTGCGTGCCAGCTTACATATGTGCGCACGCCACACATGGATGGAAACCTGCGGGGAGACAAATGCAGTGCCGAACCCAGAACGCATACATGCGTGAGCACACGCGTGAGCTGACACCTCACCCATGGACGCAGATTCGTACACACACAACAAAGCCTCTCACGCCACTCTCACAGTCCCAAGCTTGTGTGGCCGTAGGAGGGGGCTTGCGGTGTCACCTGCACACACCCCTGCAACCCCTGCCCCAAACTGTCCCTGTTGGCTCCCCACTGTCCCCCCCAGACCTCACCCCTCTGACCTTCTGACCTGGGAGCCTTTCGGGACTCCATGAAAGGTGAGGGTTGGGGTGGGGGTGCCTGGCTGGGGAGGGATGTCCCTGGAAGAGGGAATCCTAGTCTAGGAATGGCAGCAGCTCCCTCTCCCGGGACTTGGCAGTCCCTATGGGGGAAAAAAATAAAAGAAATTAGCCAGGATGCCTGCCCGAGGGTGGCCCCAGCTGTTGGCTGTGTGTCAGGGCGGGCCTGGGAGCTGGCTGAAGATGCGTGTGCGAGACCTGCGAGGTCGTGGGCTGGCGTGTCTCATGCACAGGGTTTTGGAAGTCACGTGTGCGTGGTGCTGTGTGTCAGCATATGTGCGGGGTGGAGCTGAGGAAAGGGTGCATGTGGAGTCAGGTGGCCCCGGGGCATGTATGGGCTGTCTTGTAAGGGGCCTGGCCCCATGGTGCAGGTCTGGGGAGTTGGGGATCAACCTGTGTCGCTTCATGGTCCTGAGTTCCTGTAAGTCGTTTCCATGGTACTCAGCACTTGGCCATTTCGGCAGTGTCCCCAGGGCTTCACGGGTGGAGGGCAAACCCCCATGACAAGAACAAAGTGGGGACTGCTAACCCCACTGCAGAGATGAGGCAGTTTCAGGAAATTGCTCAAGGTCAGACCAGTGGAAGGAGTAGAACTGGGGTCCGTCTCTGCAGCCAGGGCCCCATGTGTGGGAGAAGGAAGCGGCCACTGTCCGGCCGCGGTGGTGACTAGATGTCAGGAGCCAGAGGGCCGACAGGGTAGGGTGGCAGTCCTTTGCATCCTTCTCTGGGGTTAGCCCTGTCATTCCATGGCTGTGTGTCCTCATGCAGAGTATCTCTCCCTACCCCACCCCAGCTTGCCTTCTCATCTGTGAAATGGGGCCAACCCCCAGACTTCCTCTTGGTGGGGGCGACACAGGAAAACCAGGAGGGCTGAGGCAGGTACTGAGGACCTCAAAAACAAAGTGAGTCCTGCCTATCCCTGTGCAGGTAGAAGGTCCCGGGCGGGGGGGGACACCAAGGCAGAATGTTTGGGACAGGTGGAGTGACCTGCGGCCAGCCAGCTCTGCCGGGCCCCCAGGTCTAATAAGAGGTAGTGGAGGCTGGTGACCTGAGTCCCTTCTGGAGGGCGATCAGAGACCGGGAGGACCTAACTATTTTTCTGTCCTTTGGCCCTTGGGGGCCCCAGGTGGGACTTGGCTCGGCCATGGGCAAGCAGAACAGCAAGCTGCGGCCCGAGATGCTGCAGGACCTGCGGGAGAACACAGAGTTCTCGGAGCTGGAGCTGCAGGAGTGGTACAAGGGCTTCCTCAAGGACTGCCCCACAGGCATCCTCAACGTGGATGAGTTCAAGAAGATCTACGCCAACTTCTTCCCCTATGGCGACGCCTCCAAGTTCGCCGAGCACGTCTTCCGCACCTTCGACACCAACAGCGACGGCACCATCGACTTCCGGGAGTTCATCATCGCACTGAGCGTCACCTCGCGGGGCCGCCTGGAGCAGAAGCTCATGTGGGCCTTCAGCATGTACGACCTGGATGGCAACGGGTACATCAGCCGCGAGGAGATGCTGGAGATTGTGCAGGTGGGCGCCCGGGCCCCCAGGATGCCAGACGCGGGCACCCTGCAGCTGGCACCCATCGCCCTTGTCGGTATAGCTAGGACCAGGGGTTATTCTTTAGACCCTGTTTTAGAAACTCTGTATTAGGCAATCATTTCCAATGGAAAGAGAAGTTGGGCGAATTTCCTTTACCCTTGACCCTGAGCCGTCTTCAGCATAAGGTCTCACGTGCTTGATCGTGGTGGGTGCCTGTCATGTTGCATTGTCCAAAATATGACCCTTTACCCGCAATACACCAGGCTAGCTTTCCTAAGAATAGGGACATTCTCTTACATAACCCATTATATGATTAGAGAAGTCAGGGCACTTAACATAGAAGCAATGCTATTAGCTAACGTACAGACCATATTCCGGTTTGGCCAACTGTCTCAGTCGTTTTTATAGCTTTTATTTTTGTTTCGTGCCGAGGATCCCACATGGCGCCTAGATGTCGTGTCTTCAGCCCCTTTCAATCTGTAATGGTTCTTGGGCCTTTCGTGACTTTCCTTTCATGACTTGATAGATCAGGACACAGAGCAGTTTTTGTTTTCTTGACTCTCCTCTACTCATGAGCTCACTTTGAATGCCCAAAGTGGTAAAGACATTAGCTGGAAGCCACACAGCATGTAAGTGGGCCACCTGGCTCCACCTTCTCTGTTCCATCTGGATGCAGTCTGACTTTTTTGTTTGTTTTTTTGGGGCCACACCTGGTGATGCTCTGGGCTTACTCCTGGTTCTGTGCTCAGGGATCGCTATAGGCAAGGCTGTGGGGGGACCATATGGGGTGCTGGGGATTGAACTCGGGTCGGCTGCATGCAAGGCAGGTACCCTATATGCAAGGTGAGTACTTTCTCTAACCCCATCGGCATGACATTTCTGTTCAGCCCTGTACACAGAATCACCTTCCCACCAATAGACTGCAGACTCCTAAGAGCCTCGTGCTGAGTGAGATGCACCTCTCCATGCACTCAGTGCATCTTGACACCAACTCCCTGAGACTCAGAGAGGTGAAGTGTTTCACTCAAGATCACAAAGCACAATCAGAGCTGCTCCTTGAAAGGGAACTGGCCATCAGTTCTGGAGATGGCCCCATCTCTTGGATTGTTCCACTGTAAAAAGGGGATGCTAAACTTAGGAGTGATTTAAAGACCTAATATGATTCCCCTTTCTTGGTACAAGTACCCTCTTTTTCCTCTTGCTTCATTTTGGTTTTGTACCACACCCAGCTGTGCTCAGGGCTTTCTCCTGGCTCTGTGTTTCTGCCTCACTCCTGGTGGGGTTGATGGACCACATGCAGCGCCAGGGGATAAAATCTGGGCGAGCCAAATGCAGAGCAAGCACCTTACCCCCTGTGCTATCTCCCTGGCCCAGTAGGATCCACTTTCAGTCTGACACTGCTACCTTTTCTCTAAAACCTTCCAGGAGGCCCACCCCTCACCCCAGCATCGCCACCTCCAGGATTCGGTTCTATTTGTCTGTCCAGATCTGTGTTCACCTTTATGCTGAGCCTCTGGTTCTTCCCCTGTGGGGGAGGCTGTGACCTCCCTCCTTCATGCAGGTCTAGGTGGGCAAGGGACAGAGGGTGGTGTGGGGGTGCGTATTCCCTCCTGCAGTGTATTTCTCAGCCTTTCTAACATCCCTGGGATGCGCCTGCGTGGTCCTGTCTTAGCACGAACCCTGCTTCCCTTTCCTGCTGCCTTGCACACCTTTCCCTCTTTCAGCTTTGCTGACGGCTCCCTGTTTCCAGCTCGCCCGGCCCTTGCTGGACTCCAGACACTGGCTTCTCTTTTTGCTCAGAGTCTCAGTGTGCCATCTAGCCCATTCCAGAATAGAACGAGCACCGTGTGTAGCTGCCTCTCATCGGGGGAGCCTTTATATTGATCCCTGGTATTTAGTCTGTAGCTAATGAATAGCGGGGCCTCCCAGGGGTCCTGGTGGATGGGTCCACGTGGCAGCTATGGGCTGTCAACCCTAAAGAGTCATCTGTGTCTTACCACCCCGTTGACTGCCCTGCTGCAGAGCACTCCATCTCAGCCCCGCGGGCCAGGCTCACGTCAGCCTCTTCCTTGAGCATCTCCTGGATGTCTGCCTGCCTGGCCTCTGCCATCTGAGCCTGGTTTCCTTTCTAGCAGCCGGTGGCCCCAGCCAGCACAGACAGACTTCTGTGAGCCCAGTAACTGATTAATTACAGGTCGGCTCCAGTGAAACAGTGAGTGCACCACACTTCCAGACAATTAATTGGGAGGCCCGGGAGAAGCCTGTCACAGGGGAGTCCTCTCTGGAAGTCATTTGCTCAGTCCTCAGCCCTGTGACCGGACCATGGGCACCCTGGAAGGGCAGACAAGCATGCAGGCCACAATGAACCAGCTGGGTGACAAGGGTGTAAGTGTGACATCTGAGTCCCAAGGACTGCAGGGTAGGGAAGGCCCGGGATGGGGCAGGAAAGTCAGGATCACAGCATGAACTGCTGTGTTCTTTCTTTTGTTTTGAGGCCACACCCGACTGTGCTCAGGGCTTACACCTAGTGGATCCGGAGGACCATAAGGGGTGCTGGGAACTGGGATGCTGAAGATCAAATCCTGGTCAGCTGCGTGCAAGGGAAACCCCTGCCCGCTGTGCTGTTGTGCCAGCCCTGAGCTGCTACACGCTGATCCTTTAAGCCAGCCGCTGTTGCTCCATCCTTGACTCTCCCTCTTTCAGTCCTCATGGATATGGTTCCCCCACTTCACAGACAAGAAACTGAGGCTTGTGGCTTGGCCGAGACTACACAAGTAATGAACAGAATGAGGCTCTCATTCCAGGCTCGTCTTACCTTATAGTTCCCACTGGTCACCCACCAGACTGCCAGAGCAGCTGTCCAGAATCTCTGCTATTCCCATCTGAAACCTGGGTTTGTTTTGTTTTGTTTTGGGGTCACACCTGGTGGTCCTTGGGTGCTACTCTTGGCTTAGTGCTTGGGTGATCCATGGAATGCTGAGAATTGAGCATATGCTCCAACGCTTTAAGCACTCTCCCTGGCCCCAGGAGCCTCGGTTTCTTCTGAAAAAACCAGGGTTGTAAGATGTGTTTTACAGGACTGTTGTAAGGTTTAGAAACACTGCGTGGAGGGACTGGCCGTAGTGACAGAACAGCAGGGAGGGTGCTTGTCTTGCACACAGCTGACTGGGGCTTGATCTTCATCATCCCATGTGGTCCCCAAGCACCGCCAGGTGTGATTCCTGAGAGCAGAACCAGGAGTAACCCCTGAGCATTGTGGAGTGTGGCCCCAAAAGAAAAAAGTGTTCTTGGGAGGTGGCCTGATTAGTGGGTTCCTAGCAGGTCGCAAACCTGGGAAGGTACGGGGGGCAGGGGTGTCGGTTGTGGCAGAATTACCCCCGGGGAAGCTGATGGTGGTGAGGGAAGCAAGGAAGAGGATGAAATGACTTGAATGCCAAGGACTAATGGGTCAGACTTGGTGCAGAGGGCAAGGGGACACCTTTTAGAGAGGACAGTGTCTTCTCTGTTCTGGGTGTGCGACTCTGGCTGGGTGCTGGAGTTTGCATCTGTCTGGTGGGGATGAAGAGAAGCTGGATGAAGCTTTTTGGGGAGGGGTTCCCGGGAAGTTCTAGGGCTGCCCTGTTCCTGACCCAGCCAAGATGGGAGAGGACCTCCCCAAGAAAGCACGTATGAGCTGAGCCCCCAAGGAGGAGTGGGAGGCAGCAGAAGGAGCGTGGGGCAGCATCCAGAAGGAGCTGGGTGCGAGGCAGGCCTGGAGGGAGGCCTGTGTGTGAGTGGAACGAGGGGGCGGCTGCTGGGCCAGGGACTTGGCGGTGGAGATCTGTGTTTGGAAATTGCTTTCAGAAGCAGCGGGGGCCAGACCCAGGGAAAGAGGCTGGAAGAGATCAGGGTGGAGGCTGAAGTCAAATCTTGCAGCAGAGGAAGTGTAGGGTGTGGGAGAGGGTAGGCTTCTTGGAGGAGGTGTCGGAAGTGAAAAGCAGGAAGACTGACGTGAGCAGTCTGGTCCTGGAGCTGCAGGTGGCCGGAGCCCAGGCTATGCCCCAGGCCAGTACGCTTTGTGCACACGTTCTGTGGTGGTGGCGGTGGTGGTGATGGAGGGAACACATCTCCTTCGTGTCCTTCGGAGTTCCAGGCCGCTGTGGCCCTAAGGATGCCCCCTCCCCTGCTGACCAGTTGCTGAATGTCCCCTGTACCTGCTCTGAGCCCGGCGTGGCCGAGCGCCCCCTGGCGGCCACCGCGACGCCGCAGCGCAGGGCCCCCTGGCGGCTCCCGGGCGCGGGCGGTGCGGAGCCCCCGGAGTTTAGGAAACTGCGCGGGGGCCCAGGTTACCCCGCACGAGCGCCCCTTCCCCTCTGTGTGCGCCCCGACGCCCCCCACCACCTCTCCCCCTTCCTGGGCTCCCGCGGAGGCTCCGGGCTGCGGCGCGCCTTTGCTCATGCGGACCCCTCTGCCAGCAGTGCCTTTCCCGCCGGGCGTCTCCCTGGGGATCCTCGCACAGAGCCCCCCTCTCCCGGGAAGCCCTCCCGGACAGCCGGCCCCGGGCCACTGCCCTATCCCCCGAGCCCCGTGCCGCACCCCCGCGCCGAGGGGCGGGTCCCGGGGGTGGGGGTGGGGGTGCCCAGGTGGGCGCCTCTCACTCCCGCCCCCCCACTGCCGCTCCCCCAGGCCATCTACAAGATGGTTTCGTCCGTGATGAAGATGCCAGAGGACGAGTCGACCCCGGAGAAGAGGACGGAGAAAATCTTCCGCCAAATGGACACCAACAACGACGGTGAGCGGGCAGGGGCGCGGCGGGCGGGGGCTCCCCTGCACCCCGGCCCCCGCCGGCTCCGCTCCATCACCGCGCCTTCGCCCCCTCCCCGCAGGCAAGCTGTCCCTGGAGGAGTTCATCCGCGGGGCCAAAAGCGACCCGTCCATCGTGCGCCTCCTGCAGTGCGACCCCAGCAGCGCCTCCCAGTTCTGAGCGAGAGGAGCCAGGTTCCCCCCCACCCCAGCCTTCCCGGGGCCCTCTCCCGGCTCGCAGCTTCCTCCGTCCCCTTGTGTCTCCCCAGGCTGGGGGTCAGACTGGGCACCCCCGGGGGCCTACTCTCCGGAGATGCCTATGAAGGCACCCCGCAGTCTCCCCAAGACCCGAATAAGCAAGCAATGAGCACCCACCCCACCCCGCCCCCAACCCCCAGAGGCAATACCACCCTTGGACCCCCATTGAGACCTAGGCTCCGGCTTGGTCTACCCGCAGTCAGCAACACCCTTTCTCCCCAAGATAGTGGAACTTCTACAGCCACGAGGAATGGCCTCTTGCCCCCAACCACAGGGCACCCCCTCAGGTTTCAGCCCTGCGGGAGGGCTGTGTGTGGAGGGAAAAGAGGGGTCCTGAGTTGGGGGGTGGAGGGAACACGGTCCCGGAGCAGAAGGTCCACAGCTCTTGAGGAGGGCCTGGAGGCCAAGATGCAAAAGACACCCCTGGATTCCAGCCCCGGCTGTGGGTCCCCTCACCCCGCCTGCCTGCTGTCCCGCACGGATGAACGTGGTCCCTGCCCCAGCCACGCTCATAGGCCCACGGAGAGAGGGGCAGCCGGCCCTGAGCCCCCCCACAGGCCTCCGCCGAGCCCGTTCCCCGCTGCATGCATCCACACGGAGCATCTGTTCTTTTTAATACCTTCACAATAAAGTCTGTTTCAGTGCAGAGGGCTGGGTGGCTGGGGGCCGGGATGAAAGCTCCCCTGGGAGCTCTGTGGGACGGTCCCCAGTCCTGAGCTGGACACAGTGCAGATGGCGGGAAGCCCAGCTCGGCTCCAGGAGTCAGAGGGTCAGCGGCTCGGAGCTGGTGCAGCTCAGCAGGTCACGGCTCTCCACAGGCTCTGGGCTGTCCTGGAACTGCAGACACCGCAGGGCTGCGGGGAGCTCCCAGGCACCTCCCAGGCAAGACCGGCTCGTACCCAGGGAGCACTCCCAATTTGCAATTTAAGCCCAGATCCCTCCTGCCCCTTCCTGAAGCCAGACTGGGCCATGGGAGAGGCAGGTGCCCGCTGAGACATAGGAACCCGCCCCCCCCCCCCCACAACCCCTCCCACACCTGCCTTTGGCTCTGGGCAGGAGAGCAACTACCCTCTTATCAAGGTCAGGGGGCATCAGACTGGCTCTCTAGGAGATCGGGGACTCGGGGGAAGGGGCCAGGCCTTACCGAGTGTTGGTGGCTTTTCCCCCACCAGGGCCTCAGGCCCAGCAGGTGGTGGGCGAACTGGGCACAGCGCACGGCGCACACGCTCTCGGCCACGCAGAACACAAGCGAGATGCCCCAGAGGCACAGGCTGGAGCTCTGTGGGCACAGTGAGGGGAGGCGCTGGCCTGGGGTCCAGGCACCCTTCCCACCCCCACCCCAACGGGGTCCCCAGGCATCCCCCTCCCCACCTCCCCTATCCCAGCACTCACATAAATGCGTGTGGGGTCGAAGGGACAGTTGGGGGCCAGGGCCAGGAGCCCAGGGCTCCCAAAAGTGCAGGCGGCCAGCAGTGCCTGGCCCTGGGTGGCAAAGGTCACGGCGATGGAGGCCAAAAGGCCAAGGGCACAGGTGAGAGCCAGAAGGGCGCAGGCCACACTCGAGCCGAACACTGTCCAGCGCTGGGTGGGAGAGGGCATGGGTCAGTGGACCTTGGGGGCAGCTCAGAGACCCTCTGAGGGTCAGCCTCCCCCCTCCAAGCAGGCCAAGCCCTTTGGGGTGACCACTGTCCCCTCCAGACCACTCCGGGAGGTGCCACATACCAGAGGGACACTGGGAAGATAGCGCGACAAGACGATCGTGACGATGCCTGAGGTGATGACCTGTGGGGGAAGCTCCGTCAGGCTGGACTCTGTCCTGGAGGAATTCGGGGTGCTGGGGAAAAGGTGGGTGGCCGCCTGCCCAGCCCGTGGCCGGCTCTAGCCTTGGAGGCCCCCACTTCCTGGGGCCCAGCCGAGGGGAATATTTCTAGCATTCACCCCCTCCCAGCCTATAGCCGTGACTCTGCCTGCAACTGAGCACCTCAGCTACCACCCGTGAACCCCAGGGTGGTGCGGCCAAGGAGTGGGTGTCTGCTCGGCCACTGTACGCACACATTCCCTGGAGTGGCAAAGATTTTGGAAGAAATTCACTCAGCGGGGAAGGAAGCAAAACCCACATTGTTCAAATAACTCAGGACCCTTCATGGAGGAGAGTTCAGACAGCCCAGGAGTATTTGAGATGATCTCAGGCTCTTGGTGGCGTGGTCCCAGCTCCTCCTGATGTGCGTCTCTTCCCATCCCCCCTCCAACACACGCACAGCGTCAGGAGCCCCCTCCTGCTCCTCTGCCTGTCTAGCATCTCCCTCCCTGCACTCCAGCCACAGCCCCGAGGTGGGCCACCCACTGCTCAGCTCCCAGCTGCCGCGCCCTGAGTGCGCCCAGCCTGGGCTGCGTCGGCAAGGTGACTCCAGGGGAGTCCTGAGTTCGAGGCCAGCAATGCCTCTGACTTGCTGTGCAGTCACAAGCAAATGCCTGCCTTTCTCTGGGCTTGGTTCCCTTGCAGGATGAGCTCACCGAGCATCCTGGCTTCCCTGTCAGACACAAATAGTTGCCAAGCTGGCTGGGCTTCTTCGTAGCAGCAGGAGTTGGGTGAATCCCTGAGTCTTGGTTTCCCACTCTGAAAAATGTTACTAATAACGGCCCACGTCCCACGTCACTGGAAACAGCAAGGATTTGCTCTGACGTGCGGGCCAAGCCTGAGGGGTCCTAACTCCGCACTTGCTGCCTCCCCGACCCACCCCACCAAGCTGGGCGGACACAAAGGGCCACGGGGCCACACCGGCAAGAGAGGGGAGAGGTGTGAGGCGTGAGCCTGGGCAGCGCCGGGTTGTTGACGCCACAGCCTGGGCCGGTGTTGGCCTTTGCACCAGCCTGCAGGCGGTGGGCTGTCTGCCGCATTCTGCAGGGGAGGGAAAGGGCGTTGCGACTCCCTTAGCCGAGGAAAGAAACAGATTCTGATGAGCAAATGTTCTCCCAAAGGCTGAAGCCCCCTCGGCTGGTGGGGCTTACAAGCTTGAGAAGATCCTTGATCCCATCTTCATCAGACAGGTGCTGATGCTCGTCAAGACCCGGCTCCCCCAAGCAAGGCTCTGCCAGAGCCCCCAGCCATGGCACTGCTGAGTTCTGGGCTGCAGAACCGAGCTCAGCCGTTCTCGCCTCCCACCTTTGCAGCTGCTGTTCTGTTCTTGGAACACGGTCCCAGCCTCCTCTCCTACCTGCCGGGAGGGGGGGGGGGCTCCCCCCAGTACCTCCTACCTGGGTGATGGTAACTGCAGACCAGCTGTGAGCTCCTCACCTACGAACACCCAGCCCCTCTGCCTACCTGGCGGGATCCTCCCATGCTGACCTAACGCTCCTTCCTTCCGACCCGAGCTGCCTGAACTGTTGCCCTCTTGGAGCAGAATCCCAGATCCCACGAGCTGGGAGAGCTAACTGCACCAGGCTCTGGGCTAAGTAAGTACACTCTGTGGAAGACTTTTGATTTTGGCCACCTCCATGGTGCTAATTCTGGGGCAGTGTTGGGCCGGGGGTGGGGGAGGGGGAGGTTGCTCCCCAGCAGTGCCTGTAGGACCAGGCGGCACTGGGATCATGCTGGGGATCGACCCCCGGCCTCCTGCACTCTTGAGTTGCCTCTCCAGCCCCGTGGATGCTTCTTTTGGTCCCCCCAGGGCCCTGTGACGTTTACACGCCTGGTTTACAGAGGAGGAAGAGGAGGCAAGGAAGCGCGGCTTATGCAGCTGTGGAGAGGCAGAGGAGGGTTTGGGCTGGGGGTCGCCCAAACCCGCTCAAGGAAGGACCTTTCCCAGGGCCCTCGGGACCCTCCTGGTGGGGCCTACCACGATGGCCAGTGTGACGGAGAGGATGTTGACCACGCAGTACTGCAGTGCCACGGCGTCGTGCGGGGTAGCCACGTAGCGCAGGACCGTGCCGTGGAGGAGGGCGGCGGCGATGAAGCTCAGGTGGCCGAGTACCACCAGCACCAGCCCCCGCTTCATCAGCACCTTCCCAGAGTCACTCACATTCGGGCCACCTGTGGGGACAGTGCGCAGGGTGGGGGGACATGGGGGACAATTGAAGGGGGCAGTGGAGCAGGAAACCCCAGCCCGACAGGTGAGGAGGGTACTAGGTTTCCTGTGCCTTGTCTTACCCAAGGCTCAGGGTTCTCATTCAGGAAAGGGGGCTCATGTGAGCCCCTTTTGTGAAAGCCCTTGGGCTTCTGGGGTCCAAAAAACACATGGGAGGGACTTAATGGGGAGTGTTTCTGAGTGTTGTTGGTTGGGGCCGGGACTTGAACCCACCTCTCCAGCTATGACCTACGACCTTCCATGAAGCTGCCCAGGTTGAGTGCCCGGGCTGCACAGGGCCTCGAGGTGCCGTGCTGAGGTTGACCATCACTGTCCACAACTGAAGGAGCCCTCGGTCAGTGGGCAGGGATCACCTCCTGCTCAGGAGATGGCTGGGCGCACCCAGCCTAGTCCCCAGAGACCCTCAACTCGTGAGTCTAGGACTGTCCCAAGTTGGGTGATTTTAGATAAGACACTCAAGTCTGAGCCTTGCTTGCCATCTGGAACGGGAGGTGTGTCTCTTGTCTTCAGGTCGGGTGGACGGGCCTCAGGGACATGGCTGGGACAGTAGGCAGACTTCAGAGAGCAAGCCCGTGGGGGCAGGGGCTCTGGGCAGGAACAAGGAGGCAGGGGGCAGCTGGAGTCCAGTGGCTAACTAGCCCCTGGCTTCTGACTAGACCCTGGCCACTATCTACATGTCCCCAGGACAGAGAACTACTGAGCCAGCTCGGATTGTTTTATTTCTGCTCTCTGGGATTCCCTGGGAATCCCAGCTCACTTCCCAAGGACACACACAACATTCACACACATACACACACACACACACACACACACACACACACACACACACACACTGCAGCTGGCCAGCCCCTATCCCAACTAAACAGCCCCCCTTTTCCTTTAGTGGCTCTTTGTGGGACCCAGCTGATGTCCCCATTGGTGGCAGGGAGGTGTGAACCCTACTTCCTGCATGGCAGCTATGCTATACCAGGAAGGAACCCAGGACCCCCCACATGCAAGGCTGAGCCCTGCCCCTCAGATGGGATGTTCTTGTGGCCCCTGAGCCAAAAGGGAGTCTCAAGTGTCCAGGGAGGTGTGGGGCCACTCCATCACAGCCCCCCATGGGGGTCCCCAGACTCCGCATGTGACAGCTGGGGAGGGTCTGGCCTGGCTGGTCTCTATGAGATAGAGGGAGGACACATGGGTACGAGGGCCCATTGATCACCAACAGGAAAGGGCATGGCAGCCTCATCCCAGGTCCGACCCACTTGCTATCTACCCACCCACTTTCTTGGCACCAGGCACCACCTGGCTTGGGGCTGGGCCCACAAACAGCATCCCAGGACCAAGGGTTTGGTCAGAGTGGCGGTGGCCTGGTGCCAGCGCCGAGCAGCGCTTGGAGCTCCGTGGGCTGGGGGTTCCTGGCTTCCCTGCATCGCGGTTAGGGTTTCCGAGCCCTTAGCAACAGTGGCTGATGCTGCAGAAGCTCTTTCACTCTTTTCTGGCTTTGTTTTGTTTGGGGTCGGTCACACGCGGCAGCGCTCAGGGCTCACTCCAGGCTCTGCACTCCCGGCGGGATGGGGGACGGACCATATGGGCTGGCGGGGATGGAACCTGGGTCTGCCGCGTGCACGGCACACGCCCTGCTCCACCGCTGTACTCCTAGGAGGAGACCCGGTCCTGGGGCAGCGAGGAGGGGGTGATCCTGTCCCTGCTACAGGTGGGGAAAGGGAGGGGCCCCAGGTCCCCCGATTCTGTCTGAAGCCGCGGCGCGGAGGGGACCGATCGATCCTGCGGTCAGTGGGAGGGGTGGGAGGGGAGAGGGGGCCAGCAGCAGCCCGGACTCTTTCCCGCGCCCCACTGGGGCCAGAGGAGGGGCGCTGTCCTCTGGGTCTTTTCCCGGAGAACGGGGAGGAGGCGCGGGAGATCGAGGGGCGACGCCACCTCGAGGAGATGCCAGCAGCCCCCGCCTCCTCCCTTTCGCGGGTGGGGAAACTGAGGCCAGGACGGGGCCCCGGCGCTCCCGCGACCCGCCCCGCCGCCACGGCTCACCCAGGCGCAGACACATCTCGGCTCCCGCGCGGCCTCTCCGCGCCGGGCGGGGCTCCAGGGGCTGCGGGCGGCCGGGGGCCCGCGCTCCCATGCTCGTCGCCGCCCCTCTCCCCGCCGGAGCCCCGGCTGGCGGGCTCCCGCGCCTCCTCCCCGCGCCCCCGCCCGAGGCCCGGCCCCCTGCAGTCTCGTTTGCATCCCGGCCGGTCCGACCGGTTGCACGGCCCTGCCCGGCGCCGCCACTGAGTCAGCGCCGCCCGCCCGGCCCGCCCACAGCGCCGCGCTCCCCGTGGGCGCCCTCCATCCCGGCCGTCCCCCGGACACCCCTGTCCGACCACGCCCCCGCCGGGCCGCCCCTCGGACATCCCTGCCCAGGTGGGCGCCCTCTCCCGGAGGCCCCCTCCGCCGGTGGACACCGAGGAGAGCGGCGGCTGCCCACGGGGCAGGGAGTGAGAGGCCGGTGGTCCTCGGTGCCTTGGGGCCGGTGCGCGCCGTGCGCCTAATCGGGAAAACCACCAGGGACGAAGCGGGCGGGAAGTACGGCGTCCAGTCCGGCGGCCAGGATCTGCCCTTGACCTCACGTGTGGCCGCAGGCATAGCGCTGCCCTCGCTGCCCTGGGTGTGCACGCTGAATCCAGGCCTTTAATTCTGCCTTGGAATCTCTGTTGCCTCATTGAAAATCAGGGATTCCTATCTGCAAAGGTTGTGCAAGCATAAAATTCAGTACAGAAATGAAATTGTTAAAAAGCTTTGAAACCCTCTAGAACATCTTCACAAAGTGTCACGAACAGGAACGCATGGTAGGTGCCTTATTGATCCTCTTGTGGCAGTTGATCTTTAATCTTCCCGGATGAACCTGCCCTTCCCTGTGTCATTCTCTGCGAAGTGGAGTGGACTCGCCCAAGGACCCAGAGCCAGAAGTGGTGAGGTAAGGGTATCCAGACTGCCAGCCAGTCTTCAGGTTCTCACCCAGATCTCAAGACTCCCTCCCGGATCTCCAGACTCCCACCAGGATCTCCAGATTCTCAGCAAGATCTCCAGACTCCCACCAAGTTGCCATATTTCCACCCAATTCTCCAGAACATCACCAAGATCTCTCTTTTTTTTTTTATTAGTGAAACCCCATGAGGTACAGTTGTAGACTTACAAGTTGTTGTGCTTGGGTTTCAGTTATACAATGATTGAGTACCCATCCCATCACCAGTGCCCATTCTCCACCCCCACCAATCCCAGTATCCCCCCCTCCCATCCCCCATCCCACCCTGCCTCTGTGGCAGGGCACTCCCTTTTGTTCTATCTCTCCTTTTGGGTGCTGTGGTCTGCAGAAGAGACATTGGGTGGCAATCATGTTCTGTCTACAGACTACTTTCAGCATGCATCTCCCATCCTGGGTGGATCTTCCCAGCACCCTTTATTTGGTGCTCCCTTCTCTATCTGAGCTGCCTTTGCCCCTCCAGTGTGCGGCTGGCTTCTAAGCCATGGTGTGAACAACCTGGTATTTATCACAGCTGCTCTTGGGTGTTAGTCTCTTATTTTGTTACTTTATGTTACCCAGATGAATGCAATCTTTCTATGTCTGTCCCTCTTTCTGACTCATTTTGCTTAGCATGATATTTTTCATGTAGTACCACTTGTATGTAAATTTCATGACTTCATTTTTTCTAACTGCTACATAGTACTCCATTGTGTAGATGTACCAAAGTTTCTTTAACCAGTCATCTGTTCTCGGGCACTCAGGTTTTTTCCAGATTCTAGCTATTGTAAACAGTGCTGCAATGAACAAACAAGTGCAGATGTCACTTCAACTATACTTTTTTGCTTCTCCGAGGTATATTCCCAGGAGTGGTATTGCTGGGTCAAATGGGAGCTCAATTTCTAATTTTTTGAGAATCATCCATACTGTTTTCCAAAAGGGCTGAACCAGTTGGCATTCCCACCAGCAGTGAAGAAGGGTCCCTTACTCGCCACATCCGCGCCAACACAGGTTGCTTTTGTTCTTTTGAATGTGGGCCAGTCTCTGTGGTGTGAAATGATATCTCATTGTTGTTTTGATCTGCATCTCCCTGATGATTAATGATGTAGAGCATTTTCTCATGTGCCTTTTAGCCATTCGGATTTCTTCTTTTAGAAAGTCTCTGTTCATTTCATTGCCCCACTTCTTGATGGGGTTGGATAACACCACTAAGATCTCTTGATTCCCACCCCGGTCTCCAGATTCCCACCCAGACATCCCACCTCCTGTCTAGATCTTCAGATTCCCACCCAGATCTCCAGATCCCCATCTAGATCTCTGTGCCCCTATTCTCCAAGGCCACCTGTGGCTGCACCCCAGACTCTCTCTCTGTCCTCAGAGTTGGCTTCTGGATACAGGCACGCGCTGGCTCTCTGGCAGCACCTATTCTCAGCCTGGACTCCCGCAGTCAGAAATCTTCAGAGGGGTGGCAGAGTTGAAGGCATCTGGGTGTTTCTGAGAGCATGCCTCTCCGCCCTCTGGTGCTGGGGCCTCTGGTACTAGTGAGGCCACTCAGTAGCACACTCATCTCTGTCTTTGATTTGTCTTTAAATGGAGCAGTCATAGGGATCGAACTTAAGGCCTCACACCTATGGAGCATGTGCTGTAATGCGGCTGAGTCTCCGGCCAGCACAGCCTCAGGAATAAAAGCATCAGCACATTATCAAGTGAGTGTTCCCTTCCGAACAAGATGGGGCTCTGGGGGGCACCTGCAGGCTGGCAGTCAAGCTAGTGTGGCTGCCGCTGTGTGGATGTCTGGGCTCCCCTCTCTGAGTGGGACAAAGTGTGCAGGAATGAGGAAGGAGAGAAAGTCTGTGAGGTGGGGGGCATACCCATTATTAGGGAGTGGGGGGCATACCCATTGGTGTTCAGGGCTTACTCCTGGCTCTGCCTTAACTCCCATACTTTCTCTTTAGCCCCTAAATAAACCACTGACAGGCATTTGACTATTATTTTGAACCACTTAATAATACTTCTACCTACTAGAAATACTTTTATCAAAAACACATGTATTTGTGACCAATCTCATACCTTGGTCTTTTTTTGCAGGGTGCAGTGGGGGGAATCACACCTGGTGGTGCTCAGGGATTCCTCCTGGCTCTGCACTAAAAAAATCACTCCTGGAGATGTTCGGGGGACCATATGGGATGCAGGGGATTGAACCCGGGTTGGCTGCATGCAAAGCAAGCTCCCTACCCACATACTATCTCTCCAGCCCCTCATTTCTAGGTCTTTCTTAGGCAGCAGGGAGTGCAGAGATGGACATGCACCGTTTGACTGCAGTAGGGAGACACATGCCTCCGAGAAAAAGTGATTGGCTGCAGGGACAGAGTCTTCTAAGGACCATTTGTTCATACCTTGTTTTAATTTAAAAGGAAATAAATGCCTCGAGAGGCAGCCTGGGGAGGGAGGAAGTGGCCTGAGGGGAACTGGAAACATCGTGGTGGGAAATGTGCACTGATGAAGGAGCGTCCTGAGAACTCTGCATGAGTGAAAATCAATCATGAACCACTTTATAACTGTGCTTCTCGCAGTGATTCAACAAATAAATGAAAGATTATTGAGTTAAATGACCTTTAAATTAAAAAAAAGGAAATGTCCCCCGACCCCTGCCCCCAACAACACCTTTTCGATGACTAAGGCCATATCCCACGGTCACCATGGAGCATGCATGTGGTCCCTGGAAAGCTGAGGACAGATCTCACATGTGCTTACATGTGGCTGCTCCCCCTTCATCCTGAAGCCCCTCCAGGCCTTTGGAAATTAGAGTGGGGACTGACTTTTGTGATATCTCTGCTTTCTGATGCATAGATAAAGGCTTCTTGTCCTTGGGACTATACTGAGATGGTAATGGTCATCACCCCATTTTGCAGAGGAAAAAACTGAGGCCCAGAAAGGGAAGAGGGTTTTTCAAAGACCACACAGACAGCTTGGATTAGTGGTAGAGTTGAGGCTTGAACCCAAGTCTAGTGAAATGGCAAGATGGCTCCTGACCTGGGAGTGGTGGGCCAGGGAAGCCAGGGCTGTCGGGAGTGGCCCGCTCCAGGCCTTTGAGATGGGAGAACACTCCCACAGTTCCTCCCCGTTTCCTTAGCCACCCAGGAGCGCCACCCTCATCCTTGCTGCCAAGTGACCAAAGTCCAGAAGCCTGAGCCACCTGCTGTCCCTGGCCCAGGCCCCACCCTCCGTCCCAGATGGGGCTCTGGGAAGAAGCTGGAATACTCTCCTTGTCCTCCACCAGCTCAGTGCCATTCCCTGAGACTCAGCTTCCCCATCTATCAAACGGGGATAATGACAGTGGGTAGGGCGCTTATCTTGCAAGCTCCCAACCAGGATTTGATCTCTACCATCCCATATGGTCCCCAAGCACTGTCAGGAGTGACCCCTGAGTGCGGAGACAGGACCATGGCCCAAAATCAACACAAAAAAGAAATTATTTATAAATTGTCATAAGTTGGCCCCCTGCCCCCATCCCCCCACCCCCGATATATTTTGGCATTTTTTGGTCCATCGTGACAATCACTTTCTCCTTTTCTCCAGACACCTGCCCACTGGTTCTGTGTGGTCGCCCTGTCATCATCCTCATCTGTCACTGCCCCGCTCCTCAGGGGCATGAGTTTCCAGATGTTAGTGAGCAGACACTCGTCCACCCCAACATTGTCCTACAGCCCCTCCTGGCCTTCTCAGTGGCCCTTCGTCCAGTGCCAGCCACCCTCCGAAGGCAGTGCTCCAACAAACCCTGACCTCATGCCTCTGGCCAAGGCCTCCTGTGGAGGACAAGGCCCACCCTGCTCCCTGCCGTTCCGGCTGTGCCCTCCTGGGCCCTCGCATCACACCTCCATGCTTGTGCCTCCAGGCTGAGCCTCTTGAGGGCAGCTCGGCTGTGCAGGGGTGATGCAAAGCAGAGCTGGGACCCACGAAGAGGCGGCGGTGGGAGACTGCAGAGCCGGGAACTCTGAGGGGAAAGCTGACCTGAAGCCCACACACTCCCTGCTTCTTCCAGTTGTTCCTCCAGCTCTGCAGGGCCCCCGGGTCCTCTCCGCCTCACCCTGTTCCATCCCTCGCCTCCCTGCTTTCCCTCTCCTCACTCCCCAGCAATGAGATTAGCCCCACTGGGAGAGCTGGAGAGCCCTCCTCCAGGTTCCCAGTGAACTCCAACGCTACTGGTTGAGGCACTGTGCTCTTCTGTGATCAGCTGCTCTGTGAGCCGCTGCT